AACCTTCTCGTTCAGTGTAGGTGGTGTATGCTGCATTAGTATCTACAGGTTGCAATGCAAGTCATAGATTTATTGGATTGTATCCCAGGAATTTAATATTAAACTTGAATCGTAATCAAACCGGCATAATTGTCTACACGTCATTCCGCATGTACTTTCATGATGTGGTAACATTGATTTTCAACACACTATCAAAAATGCGATATTGGATCAGTCATGTGCACATCCGAATGGGAATATCAATTAATCTCGATAAGACGAGGCTAATTAAGATAAAATAGTTTGTGCCGAAGATTGGGACCATTATGTCAGACTCCGGACATGGACGTGTTACGACACCCCAAGGCTGGCCAAGGCAACAACCGGCCCTTAGATAGTTAATATAAAAAGGTGCATGTGTTACGTCAGGTTTACGTAAAGCTTATCTCTCGTGCTTTCTACTGTGTGCCTTAAGCCGGTCACACAATGCTCGCGTGCCGTCCCGAAGCATTGTGAAATTTTCAAAATAAACAAACCATATTATAACACAATTAATCTGGAAAAACTGAAATCCCATGGTTATTTAAGGTTCATCCTTAGGAACGGTGTACGTACGTGTAGATGTTATTTCCGAGAAGAAAATGTCTGGTCATCTTCCCTTGTAATTAGGATCTTGTTGAAAAACCCTCGTTTGCTAGAACAGGCTTGTTCGTGCTATATGGATTAAATTAACTGTCCATAACATACAAGAATATAATTCTTTTTTTTTTTTAAACTTATTTATTGAAAAATATTACAATTTGTCTCAAGGAAATTTATAATAGTGGTCTGAGATCACATTCACACTCTATGTTCAATAAATAAAATAAATTATACAGAAAAATAATATATACACAATAAATAAGAATAAAATAACCTAAAAATAAATAAATAAAAAGAATACAAACATATCTATATACAATATTTACAATCTGGCGAGAGAACTGCAAACCAGATTGTCCCTCAAACTGTGGAGGCAAAAGCATGACTATAATTTTAGTTAAGACAAAATTATAATAATTGGGTATACTTGAACTTGATTTTAGATAAGATTCATTAACTCCCTTGTACTTCATGACTGACTTCATCATCAGCGTTTATTTTCAACTAGAGTGTTTTTGAAAAATGATGGTTAAATTTAATAATAATAATAATAATAAAAGGTGATTTTTTTAATGATTTTAATTTTAATCACCGTTGTAACAAGACTTGAATCACGGCAATAGTATACTGGATTTAATCTATTTAGGGGAGAGTCGGCTTCAACTCGAAACAAATTTTTTATACATATAAAGGTAATTATTTTGGAAAGAAAAAAAAAGACACTACCTATATGAAATAATAATACTTTTAAAGATAATTTTGAAAAAAAAATTTTAGTAGCTTATAATTTTAAAAATAAATCATATTGTGATTATTTTAAGTATTTAGCTTAGTTTACTTTCAATCACAAATATAAAAAAAAAAAAAATTAAAAAGGCTTCAGTCAGAAAACCACCTCTCCTCTTCCTAAAAAAAACAAAAAAAAACTAAGGTGTGTGACCGCACGATAGACGTGAAAATATCGATAAGCCGAGATTAATAATATGAAATATAAATTATAAATAATAGCTCATTGTAAAGAGGATGAAATGCTGATCATTTCTCTCGCTTACAGTATGCAAGTCTGATTTTTAGTTTCTGAGATGTTTTAATCCAAATATTTAATAAAACCCATCATCAGTTGATTTTCATTTTCGCCTCCCTAACACAACATCGAGTTAAGATAAAATTTTGAATAATAGCTCATTACAGAGAGGATGGAATGCTGACCAATTCACTCGATTAAAGCATTCAGGTCCTATTTTTAGTTTCTGAGATATTTTAAGCCATATATTAAATAAAACTCGTTATCATTACAAATTGGATGGAATGATGAACATTTCCCTCGATAACAGTCTGCAGGCCCGATTTTTAATTTTTGATATATTTTAATCCATATGCAAAAACGCTTCAATTAGTCGACTCCAGCCGACTTTACTAGAGTGTTACACATCGGAGATCTGACGGCTCAATGTAATTCACTCTCCACAAAAAAAGGTGCCAAACGCGTTTAAAGAAGTTTTCACTTTAAAAAAAAAATTCTAATAGTTATCTATGTTATTAACTAATAATTATCAGAGTATTTCATTTGTTTGAAACTTAATTTATAATTCATAACCATTTTGTTTTTAAATGTTTCTAGCTCATCAAGTTCTGTGTACTTGCAGGTTTCGTTATATCTCATCGATAAACTTAACAGGAAGTTATTTTACAACACTCTTTTCCTGGATGTAAACTTGCGTTAAAGCATCTGGTAAAATTTAACGGAAATCTATAAGCAAGTTGTTTACGGAAAGGGAAAGTGCTATTCCGAGTATTAGTTATCTTCGGAGCGACTTTCTTGGCCTCCCTTCACCAAAGCTCATGCTTACGCAATTTTGAAGAGGCAAACAATGTTATATATTTTGGTATCATACTTACACAACATATTAAGATCTTCCTCGAAGGAAAGGAAATGACTGTCTGTCTTTCCGAGGTGAGGTTATTGGTATTGCTTTATGCCTTACTTGTTCATTCACCATATTCCAGTGCTATATTTTATAAAACACAATTACTAAATTTCATAATAAAACTGTATAATACAGTCAATTTACGTTAATTGATAACGATTTTTTTATAACGAAACATGAAGAATATCTTGTAGATGATTGGTATAATAAAGGAGTGCTATCATTAAGAACGGAGCTAGAAATTTATACCTGAAATAATTTATGCATGCAATTTAATTGTAGCTCTTAAAAGCTATTCAGTACGACCTTCTCGCAAAAGATCTTAAAGAACTGATATGAACTACACAACGTTCAGGTACACTTAAAGTTACCTTATTTCACTACCCTTTTGTAACATGCTTGGCTAAAGGGACTTATATCTCCTGACAAAAGCAACCAGGCTAAGAAGGTTCTTCAAAGAAAGAGCACTTAGCTGTAGTATTTATTCACATGTGGCTTTATGCAAGGATTACTGGAGTCAAACTATGACCTAAACAAAATGGTTGAGAAATCGTTTGAAGACATTAATGTATGCGCAACAAGAATAAAGTTTAGCGATGGGATGAACCTACTTTCATGTTCCCAAAGTCCTTTTTGTAATAAAGTTGTCAACGACATTAGAAGCTTATAACAGTGCCATCCTCAAGTCCCTGACATCTCGAGGTTTTCAGAAGATTAAAAGGATAGGTAAATTTGTGGTCGTCTGATAATGATGTTAAGAATAGTGGATTCGGAAACTACTATCACATATTTTTTTTCTTATCCTCCATTTTGTTTTTGAACTATTACAATATAAGTACGTGCAATATATAAATATAAATCTTGTTGCTTTGTTCTTGATATATATGTATATATTGCATGTATTAATTAATATTGTAATAGATCAAAAATAAAATGGAGGATAAAAAAAAAAAATGGTTATATCATTACGATTATCATAAAAATCGTTGGGTGAATGATTCTCTTGAAACACCTTTTGTAAGAATCAATAATAAGTAGATAAAGATTCACAATCTGTTAGTTTTGGAGAAGTCACATTGTTTATTATCTTCAAAAGAATTTACTGAATTTATCTTCAAAAGAATCGGGCAATCAAGATATTCAAAAGTTTTTAAAAATGAGAATGGAAAAAATATGTTCAATTTATAGGTAAAGAGCTGAATTTTCAATTGTTTTATTTTACTGCCACATATTCATTGTCGAAAAATGATTATTCGTATGCTAAAAGTTGTTCCAAAACGAAATTAGCCCAGACTATTGTGTATATGTTTTTAATGTCTCAGGGTAAAAATATCCAAACATACTAACTTGTTTTGTCTGTGAACTTTTTTTATTTTATGTTCTTCCCTACCGCGCCTTTTAGGCTACACGGGATTTTCCCGGGCCGAGGGGTGAGGGCGGGGAATTCAAAATCCCCTTCCGGGACGCGAACTCGTAATTTTGAATCTCTCATATAACTTTGGTTATCTGGTTGCTGGGCAACTCACGGTGCTGTGGACACACGTCAAAATAAAATAATAATTACTAACTGATACATAATATACTGTACCCCTGAAAAAAAGGGAACATTCGAGAAAAAAACTTCACAGCTACACAGAATTTTTTCAGTGTAACAAATAATTAATGTTCAGAAAGCTATAACTCTGCACCAAATCCTCCGATTTCGATGATTTTTTTTACGTTTTGCAGGGAATTTAGTAAGCTTTCAAATACATATATTTTACAACATTTTACTCGTACTGTAGAAATATGCTAAGTATGTTATATGATAGAGCTCTTCTGTGTAATATAAACCGAAAATAAGTGTAAAAAAATGGAGGAAAAAAATGCAGGAAAATTATTTTATCAGTCACAACTGTTACCAATTTAGATTTTTTTTTTTTTACGTTTTGGAGGGAATGTAGTAAGCTTTCAAATACTCATATATATAATGCACCAAAAATTACGTACTTTTCGAGTTATTCGCAAATTATGAATTCATTTGTTCCGTCTTGATTTGTTGAGACCATCATATGATTTGGAACCTCCCACTTTTTCGTACACTTTTATTTAATTCCTGGTACAAAATTAGGAATCAAAATTACGATTCGCGCGCTATGTGATATTCCCTTTCTATTGATACCACATTCGGCAAAACCCATCACTCCTGAGAGCCGGAAAATGGATATATATATTTGAGGAATAATATATAAGATAAGATATTTATAAATTAGAGCTAAAAGACTCTTTGATAGCATCGTGTTTGGCAGAGTTATACGTCATGCTAACATGTCATCGACCCACAACATCTGTTCCCATTTTGTCTCTGAGAAGGTTATTTCAAGATTTTAGCTAAAATGAACCTTTTTCAATTATTTAACATCTCAATCTTATGTTCGTTCTCCATCATTTGAATTCTTTTGCAGCTCACGTCTACCCAATTTCTCTGCAGGTACCCAATTGTATGAGTTAATTATGAAAAGTAAACGGGAATATTCTGCCTTTGCACTTTATACTCCCGTTTTTTCTTTGCAATAATTTTCTAAAGTATGTTTAATCACATTCTTATCTCCCACATAACTATCCGTTTTCGTCTAGGATGAACGCGGAACATAAAACACGTAATGTGATATCCCCTCATTCTCATATATGGATGCTTGGTATCTTGTTACTGGGTCAAGGAAACGAGGAGAAAAATGTGGTGCGAAACAGTCACACGACTCTCTCCTCTCAGCTCCCGCAATGGTCTGTTGAGAATTCTGTGCAACAGTAGGATCCATTACTCCACTTCCTGTTTAATAAATAACAACATAAATATTTGATTTATTATCAATTTATTAAATTTTGAATATTCTGTGAATTCGTGGTTTATTTTTGAAAAAAAAAAGTATTTTTTATTATTTCATATTTACAATTCGGGATGTTCGACCACTTGGGTCATTTCAGCTCATATACAGTATATAATAAAAGTACAAACAAAAAATTATGCTCATACTATTTTTTAAAACATCAGTAATATCAGTTCCTAACAAACTTCATCTCGCTGAAATTCATATGCATAGAACTTCGTCCAGATGTGCGACGACGCATAGTGGTCTGAGAACGGCGGAAACCCCTATTTTCAAGATGTTAAGATAATTAAAATTTATATTTTTAATGTCTGACATAGTTAGTTAACTCATATATTCTTAAAGTTTATGCACTAATAAAAATACCAGTTTCCAAGATTTTCAATTGAATATAAATAAAAAGCCAGTTTCTAACGCATTAATAATGCAATTTGTTATAAATCATTTAAATATATTTTAAGTGTTTTCCCTAAATTCTCAAAATATTTGCTGTTGTGTAATTTGTTGAAATGAGTCAAATAAGTTCTTAAATAAATTATTTCTTAATAAATTTAAAAAAATTGTATCACTCAACGGATCTTGGAATTTAGTTTTTCCTAATTCTTAAAGTACCTCGGGTCGCCTCGGTCTTACTGTAATCAAAATGTTCTTTGAACCTTCTGCTAATGATTAATACAAAAATTTGAAGTTTCTCGAATTATCTGGCAAATTCAGTCAAGCAAACTATACAAAAAAACGAGCAAGAAAAAAAATTCTACCTGTATCTAAATAAATGTATATCTATTATAATTTATTCCTTTCCGTCATAGAAAACTGGAAGAAAGATATAAAAACTGAAATAAAATGTGAAGGAAAAGGTAGAAGAGACATTCAAACAATTTTGAAACTCATAATTGCGATACTGGGGTATTGTTTTCAGATAGCTACCATGTAATTAGTTTTATCTCCATATGATGTCCTCTTGATAGTAATGTAGGTAATAGATATTTATAATTGATTCGGTCAATAACCTTAAACGATAGATTTTAATTTTGACAACATATTACCTGCAAAATATATTTTATTTATTATTGAAGAAAGAATAACAATAAGAATAAAGGTTGGCTAAATCAAAAGTTTTCCAAGGTTTTTGCCGTTTTATTCCGACCACGGCGCCTACACCGCAGGGTATACTCTGAGGGTAATACACTTCTGTTTGTTATAATTAATATGTTTATTTTTTTTTTATTTATTTAGAAATATAATAATCTGTCACGTGGACAACAATTATAGTGAGATATGAACACATTAGATATGAAGCATAAAATTAACAAGAGTAAAATAATAATCAAACAACTATGTACAATAAAGGGGGCGGGGTGGCCGAATAGGCTAAAGCGTGTGCACAGCACCGCTAGTTGCAACCGGATAACAGAGATTTGAGATGATATAAAAAGTACGAGTTCGCGTCCCGGTGCCGGAGGGGATTTTAAATTCCCCGCCCTCACCCCTCGGCCCGGGAAAATCCCGTATAGCCTAAAAGGCGAGATAGGGAAGAACAAAAAAAAAAAAAAAAAACTATGTACAATAAAAAATAAAACAACCTAAAGATAAGTAAATTAAAAACATAAAAACTCAGTCTTGTTATAATTAGAGACCGTGCAGTGAAAAAAAAAAATATGCTGCAAAATCGTGCAGTAAAAATCCAAAATATGTAAAATTGTATACATAACATGCAAAAATCATAGTTTTTGTTTGATTTATATATTAATGCTTTTTTACTCTTATGTTAAGGGTTATAGCCTCTAAATTGAAATTAGCTATAACGTAAAAAAAAATCTAATTATAATTTAAAATGAACGAAGATTAACCTATTTATGTATGTAAACGTTGCATTTTTTTAAATGGGCTTGAATTTACAGCTTTAGATCGATTTAAATCTTTATAAATGTCGATTTTGAGTTAAGCTTCTTATCTATTATTAAAATCCATAATCCTTCGCGTAACCCTACGGCGTTTTGTCAAAGGGCATTTGACCTAGCAGTATTAAAAAAAAAAAAAACGGTGGTAAAACGTAAAACGGCAATAAATACTTTCATACTTATGTGTTTGAAAACTGAAAAATAAATATACACGTTTTGGAACCGCGGTTAAGAGGCTTTGTAAGTGATTATTTTCAATTGCATTAAATTAAATTATCAAATATGTTACCCCCAATTATACTAACTATTATTTATAAAATAAAATGTGTGTACTAGGACAGTAATTTTGTTACTTTTATCAAACAATACGAGTATAAAATATCATTCGTTCATTGAAAGACAACTTGAAGTGTTATTTTGAATACAAAATTTCAAAAAAAAGGTTGTAAACTATTTACGCCCTCTATGGGTCGGACACCGCTGTTCTCAACTACAAACCTAAAATATAAAATACAATTTTATTTATAAAATAAAATTTGTGTAGTTGGACAGTAATTTTGTTTCTTATATCAAACAATAAAAGTCTAAAATATCTTTTTATCCCAGAAAGATAACTTGAAATGTTATTTTGAATACAATTTACGCCCTCAACGGGTTGGACACCGCTGTTCTCAACTACAAACCTAATATGATTTACAATAACAGTAAATAATTATTAACACACATTTTATAATTATATATACTTATGCACATTTTATAATTGAAATTTTGTCCTTAAATCGTAAAATGTGCAATATCATGCAAAAAAAAAAAAAACGTGCAATTTCGTACAATATGAAATTTTAATATGTTATCCTACATACCGTGAAACGGATAGATTGTTGGATTTGAAGTTTTTACGACTAAGCGAACAAAATGTACAATAACATGCAAATCCGATCTCTAGTTATAAGGTAATCTTGCATGATTCTTGTGTCTCCAATCCTTACTAGAGTTAATTCTACCTCATTTCTTCTTTTCCACTGGAGTTCCACTCGATTTGGCACTACAGGGTGTGAACCTGTGAGGTTATTGCAGTCATTAGTAGGTTATTGAATTAGTATGACTAAGATAAAAAGAAAAGGCAGGAATGGTATAGGCTTGTTTTAAGCATACATTTACGACTTTTCTTTATAATAACATTTTTTTTTAAATTAGCTTTTAAATAAACAATGGTTTACAGACAACATTTTATTGTGTATCGTCGATGACTGAATTGAATTAGATATGAGAGGTTTTTGTTTTGAAATCTTTCGAAAACTGAAAATTTGAATTGACTCCATCTAATACAGACAGGCCTAGGCATAAATGCTCTAGAGCTGCAACTATTGCCTACCGTATGGGTTTTCCAAAAGAACTGGTCGTGTATTTGCTAAGTCTCTAGTGGTTAATCCCAGCTTCCCCGAACCGCCCCACCTTTCAATCAAACAGTCTTTATAAGTCGATGAACTTTAGAGGATATGGCAGTCATCTAGGGTTACTGAACGAGAAAGAGTACGATGAAAGGAAAGGCCAGCTATGAGGTAGACTTTTTTTTTTATCAGACATTTGCAACGTTTTTTTACAATAGCACGGAGTGAATCTGTTAAACGATATCAATGCGGCCTATAAATGAATTTTACAGACTCTTATTTTGTATTTCATCAATGACTGAATTTACTGAAATGAAAGGCTTTTGTTTTGTAATCCTTCAAAAACAGATCATTTTTTTTTTTTTTTTGCTAGAAATGAATGAATATTAGAAAAATAACTGTGTTGCATTACGTTAATAATTGTCATAAGAGCCATTTATTTTTATATTCGAAAACCGAAACATATTTTAATTTACAAGGTAAAAAAGTAATAAAGATATTTTAAAATAATTTAATTATATTAATAATTTTATAAATAACGGGTATATTTACATATATATATATATATATAGGCAGTTATATATATATATATAAACCAATAAATAAGGAAGGTATGTTTATTCAGTGGATGTATTAAATTTACATGTTATTTATAAAATTATTAATATAATTAAATTGTTTTAAAATATCTTTATTACTTTTTTAAATAAATAAATAAATTCTATCACACATGTGTAAATACCATCTGTTATTAGATCTAGAAAACACCAATGATCCTTTAGGGTAGAGGTGGGAAAAAGAGAAAAATAAAAACAACGCGTAATTTAATTAATTCTTTCAGTTTTATTTTCGTTATTTTATATTATTCTACTTAATGCATTTTATTATCTAATACCATTGTGTTAGATGGATCCATAAGTTCATTCGGTATTTGAATGATGAAATTAAACAAGTTTTTTTTTTCTACAAAGAATGAATTTTATTCAATAACGTATTCGCTGTTGTCAGATAAGGCAAACAGAACGGAAGATGTTTGAAAACGATTCGCAGTACTAAAAAAATTAACTTATGGATCCACCCGATAATTCTTTCAGATTAATAAAATCAGTTATTAAAACAAGTTAGATATGTATAAATAAACTTTTCAATTTTCATTTTAAATAATATAAGAATGACTTATGTTACACTTAAATATCACATTCTTATCTCATGCTTTAATAAAATTATGTAATAATACTTTAATATTCTTAATGTTCTTTGAATAAGAATAATCCTAGTGAAAAAAAATGACTGAACCTATTGGCACAGTTTGTCCTTCCACCTAATACATACTATACAGTTTCACATGAAAAGAAATTTGTCCTTCGACGTTGTCACAAAGACCACCCCTTGAAGTGTTTCCAATCGGTAGTTTCTCAACCAGTCAACTTTTTGTTACATATAATATCACTCTCAAGATATTTAATTACTTGTATTTGAAGTATTCCGCCTAGAACTCTCTTGTTCATATAATTCTTGTGATTTGGGAGACTAACAATACAATTTTTTTATTCTCTTAAAATACATTCATTAATGTAGATTTTTTAAAGAAACTCATGGAACCTAATGGAAAGAATTCTGGGATCTTCGAAAAATTTAA